TGCTTTTTGTCTTATTCAATAGTTGACGGTAAAAAGCAAACTCCGGTCGTAGCAGCGCTGCTTAAAGACGGTAAACCGTTGAAAGATGTTGAAGTGCAAGTCAAAGATGATAAAGTTCTTTTTACGATCAAGAAACCGACACGCGATCAATCTGGTCCATATCAAATCAAATTGTCGAATGGTCAAGGCGAGGATGTGAAAGACGTCAAAATCACAATGCAAGATGTTCCAAATGCTCCGCAAGACGTTAATGTGCGCGATGTGTTTGAAAAATCATGCGTTGTCGACTGGAAGCCACCGAAAGAAAATGGTGGTACTCCAATTCAAAAGTATGTTATTGAACGTCAAGATCTTTCGTCGAAGAAAGGATGGGAGCCTGCTGGCGAAGTTCCGGCTGATAAGCCCACCACATTCAAAGTCGAAGATCTTACTCCGAATAAAACATACAAATTCCGTATTCGTGCTGTCAACAAAGTCGGCCCAAGTGACCCGGCCGAATTCAAGAATAATGTTGTAGCTAAGAATCCATGGGAAGCGCCAGGCAAACCAAAGGGACTTGAAGTTACTAAAGACTGGGATAAAGATCCAGTTCTCAAATGGACTAAACCAGATAACGATGGTGGTGCTGAGATCACTGAATACGAAATCGAAGTGAAAGACAAAAACAGCAAGGAATGGGTTAAAAAGAAACGCGTTCCAGCTTCTCAAACGACGACATCTATTGAAGGTCTAAAAGAAGGTGAATATGATTTCCGTGTGCGAGCCGTCAACAAAGCTGGCCCTGGTGAACCAAGCGATTCAACCAAGCTTATTATCAAAACAAATAAATTTAACAAAACACTCAAGGACACGACCGTTGTTGAACGTGAAAAGGTGGTTCTTGACATTGAATTGGAAGACGAAAAGGCGCCAGCCGAATGGAAACTCAACGGCAAACCAATTAAGCCCAGCGATCGTGTTCAAATCAAGAATTTAGGTGGTGGTAAACATCAATTGGTAATCAACGACTTGAAATTGGCTGATGCGGGTGAGATTTCAGTTCACTCAGGCAAATTGAGCTCATCATGTAAACTCAACGTTGAAAAGGGTGAAACTAAACCACAAATCAACGCACCAAAAGAATTTGAAGGGCCAAT